CCTGGTTAGTACGCTATCTTAACTTGTCAAACTGGTTTGATATCAGCTATCACGTCATGTAAAACTTCAGTCTTTAAACTGGTGACTAGGCTGGCCGCTGTGAAGCGGAATTTATCCACATATAATCATAAAAAAACACGTCTTCAATCCTTCTCCCAAGGAGAGTAAACTGCAAAGTACATTAACTCTAGAATCGTGTATAGGCCCATATGACCCCATCGGCTTCATAAGCACATTTTTCTGAAACATTTATGCGCCAAATTGATCCCGAGTCCAAGACTTTGTTGGTTACTAGGTCCCTAATAACGTTCGAGTCCATCAAAAAATGTAAAACCAAAAACGCCACCTATAACACAATTAATTCCACTTATTACCGCTAGGGCACCTACGTGTTTTCACATAAAAAACTAGCGATATTGTTTTCCCCTACGTCATTCCTAAGGTTATATGCCACATTTGGTGGCAATCAGTCCAGTAGTTTCCTTGTAATAAGCGAGTACACACTTACACCGAGAAAGTCAGGTCTGAATGCCGATCCCCTACGTCATTCCTAAGGTTATATGCCACATTTGGTGGCAATCAGTCCAGTAGTTTCCTTGTAATAAGCGAGTACACACATACACCGAGAAAGTCAGGTCTGAATGCCGATCCCCTACGTCATTCCTAAGGTTATATGCCACATTTGGTGGCAATCAGTCCAGTAGTTTCCTTGTAATAAGCGAGTACACACATACACACTTAGTTTTGTCAACTATTGGTTTAGAGCAGTGGTTCTTAACCTTTATGCTCCATGCCCCACCTCGACACCTCAAAAAATTTGATGCCCCCCTTAGTATAAAAACAAATTTGGTGTTGAAAACGTATAATAATATAATGTCCAATTTAGAAATTTACCAAAATTTCACACCCAAATGAAAATTTGTTCTTATTGTAGCATTTTCAAATTTCCCCCCTGTGGGGCGTGCGCCCCACATTCAGAAATCACTGGTTTAGAGGATGTTAAGCTTCCAGAAGAACTGATTTTTGCGTATCTTGACGGTGACGATATTTTTTAAGAATCACCTTTAATCTTTCGTAAAAATACTTTTCAAATAATTAAGTTTTTTATTTCAACCCGTTAACCTGTTCTCGAAATAGAGCCACAAACCACTTAAAACATTATATTACCACATCGTCATCGATAACATTACCAAAAAGATCATTTTAAAACTTTAGGATCGTACTGATACCATCAATATCACGGATTACCGGGATTGTAATCAGACATTGAATCATTTTAAAACTTTAGGATCGTACTGATACCATCAATATCACGGATTACCGGGATTGTAATCAGACACTGAATCATTTTAAAACTTTAGGATCGTACTGGTACCATCAATATCACGGATTACTGGGATTGTAATCAGACACTGAGTAATTTTAAAACTTTAGGGTCGTACTGGTACCATCAATATCACAGATTACTAGGATTGTAATCAGACACTGAATCATTTTAAAACTTTAGGATCGTACTGGTACCATCAATATCACGGATTACTGGGATTGTAATCAGACACTGAGTAATTTTAAAACTTTAGGATCGTACTGATACCATCAATATCACAGATTACCGGGATTGTAATCAGACACTGAATCATTTTAAAACTTTAGGATTGTACTGATACCATAAATATCACAGATTTCTGGGATTGTAATAAGACACTGAATCATTTAAAACTTTAGAATCGTACTGGTACCATAAATATCACGGATTACTGGGATTGTAATCAGACACTGAATAAGTTTAAAACTTTAGGATCGTACTGATACCATAAATATCACGGATTACTGGGATTGTAATCAGACACTGAATAAGTTTAAAACTTTAGGATCGTACTGATACCATAAATATCACAGATTACTGGGATTGTAATCAGACATTGAATCATTTTAAAACTTTAGGATCGTACTGGTACCATAAATATCACGGATTACTGGGATTGTAATCAGACACTGAATCATTTTAAAATTTCAATTATCACGCTGATATAATCATAATCATTATCACCACCCCAAGTCAAGGTTATCCTTCGCAAACTAACTCATTTTCAAATCATTTGTATCATCAGGAAACGGATCCTTTACAAAATTATCATCATCATGAACTTCTGAGATCATCATAATGTACCACACATCATCATTTAACATCTACACTACAAATTACTGAGATTTCTACATGACTACTGCACACCATTCTCGCTATTGGGGAATAAATTACTGACATGTAAATATTACAATGACATCATTACACGGTAATACCAAGAAACTACTGACACGTAAATATTACAGTTACATCATTAAACAGTAACACCAAGAAACTACTGACATGTAAATATTACAGTTACGTCATTAAACAGTAATACCAAGAAACTACTGACGTGTAAATATTACAGTTACATCATTAAACAGTAATACCAAGAAAGTACTGACATGTAAGTATTACAGTTACGTCATTAAACAGTAATACCAAGAAACTACTGACGTGTAAATATTACAGGTACGTCATTACACAGTAATACCAAGAAACTACTGACATGTAAATATTACAACGACATCATTATACGGTAATACCAAGAAACTACTGACATGTAAATATTACAGTTACATCATTAAACAGTAATACCAAGAAACTACTGACATGTAAATATTACAGTTACGTCATTAAAAAGTAATACCAAGAAACTACTGACGTGTAAATATTACAGTTACGTCATTACACAGTAATACCAAGAAAGTACTGACACGTAAATATTACAGTTACATCATTACACAGTAATACCAAGAAACTACTGACATCTCAATATTACAATGACATCATTGTACTGGATTACCTCAAAAAACTACTGGTATAACAGCATTACAATGACATCATTATAGAGGAATACCTCAAGAAACTAGTGACATAACAGTATTATAATGACATCATTGTATTGGATTACCTCAAAAAACTACTGGTATAACAGCATTACAATGACATCATTATAGTGGAATACCTCAAGAAACTAGTGACATAACAGTATTATAATGACATCATTGTACTGGATAAGCTTGAAAAAACCTATCGAATAGGTACAAAAAAGTCTCCATATTTTATACAGTGATATCATTATACAGGATTACCTCAAGAAACTAGTGACATAACAGTATTATAATGACATCATTGTACTGGATAAGCTTGAAAAAACCTATCGAATAGGTACAAAAAAGTCTCCATATTTTATACAGTGATATCATTATACAGGATTACCTCAAGAAACTAGTGACATAACAGTATTATAATGACATCATTGTACTGGATAAGCTTGAAAAAACCTATCGAATAGGTACAAAAAAGTCTACATATTTTATCTCTTAACGTTAAGAGTCTAATGATTTTAAACTTAGCAGGTTTGTAAAATATAGTTCAACATCCTGAACTTACGAAATGAATATCATATCCCTGACTAAAGGTGGGGTGGGGGAGAATAATTAATCATATCAATATTTTTATCTAATCTTGAACTAACGAAGAGTAAGGAATAGAACACCCTTTCCTCCGTGACTAAAGGTGGGGGTGGGGGGAGAATAATTAATCATATCAATATTTTTATCTAATCTTGAACTAACGAAGAGTAAGGAATAGAACACCCTTTCCTCCGTGACTAAAGGTGGGGGTGGGGGGAGAATAATTAATCATATCAATATTTTTATCTAATCTTGAACTAACGAAGAGTAAGGAATAGAACACCCTTTCCTCTCCTCGATTTTTTTGTAAATTTTATTTAACTTAGATATCACAAACAAATATACGTACTAGCCTTCTTCTTATACAGGGCCGTATTTAATTATTATACAGTTTACACTGAAACGATGTACTCAATACTCGTGTATAATTTTGTATCAGAATAATATCCTACAATAATAACATATATTTTCTTTCTCTCCATGTGTACATTTTCTAGAATAAAGTATAATAATGAGTCGTTTCTCAATAGTGTCAAGGCCTTTTTAACTATGACCAACTTAACCAGTTCTTGCAAGATTTTCCCAGGTCTATGTTATATCAAATCTTGGGGCAGGCAACAGTACAGAATTCGTGGTCTAAAGTAGAAGTATGAAATGATTCAAGTCTACAAGAGTCCACAACATGATGTTTTCAATATCTTAATAAAAACGATCATAAGTTGCATTTATAATAATACTTCAGAACGATCATAAGTTATATTTATAATAATACTTCAGAACGGTCATAAGTTATATTTATAATAACACTTCAGAACGATCATAAGTTATATTCATAATAACACTTCAGAACAATCGTAGGAAATATTGATAAGAACAGAAGACGGAGAATGAGTTTACATTTGGTTGACAACTGACACGACAGTTATTTGTTACTGAATACAGTATTATAAAATGTAAAAAACGCCCATTATGGCAAAGAAATCAATATGAGTTTAAAACTTTCTCTTAACCTCAAATTACAGACGTGTTCTATCCTGATCACTGCCGGTGGAGTCCACGTATTACGTTCTAACACTGACTATTCATGTTTTTTTTTCTTCCTGTTACAATATTCAACGTAAGGAACTAAAGAAAAAAATGGTTAAGTCATTCATTTTCTACGTAAAATACATAGGGGGCCCCAGCAGCAATCAGAGATTAATTGAAAAATTGATGGTATTTTGTTCAGATTTTTTATGTGATTCGTGTATTGTTACGAGTCTTGTACTCAACAAAATCGCGGACCCACAGACAATTTAAGGCATTAGTAATTCAACAAAAAAGTGTTTAAAACTCCATTTTAGGTTAATAATTCTAGGGTTAACTGAGCACCGGCCGTGTCGTGGGTTTATTAATTTTCGTGTTATAAAATAAACTACAATTTTAATTTTGAATTTTGGATGAACAATTTCAATTTTTTTCTTTTTAAAAAAAAATCATTTGGTGCAGTAAAAATTAATTGAACGGATACTTACAAAAGGCAACTTGTGGATAGTCTTGACCCTGATTGTTCTTTAACGTCCTTGACCGACCTCTCACTTGACCTGCTGCTTGACACAGTAGGAGCTGAAGTCTGTTGGTTATCCTGGATTTCAGAGTATCTTTGGACAGGTGACAGCGAAAAAGTTCGAATGTGCTTTCCACCAACTTCGCCCAGCCAATCTGTATTGACATAATCTGGCTCACTTTGGGCACTGGTCTCGTACCCAGAATCCTTGGTCAGCTTACGCGCTGACCTCTGTTGGCGCGTGGGGTGAAGCTGAAGAAGCACTATTTCAGAACTGTTGCCGAAAAGATGTTGAGATGTGAGGGACGTCTCACTGGAGTTCAGACTAGGCTGGTTTATCTCTTCAACGGACAGTGTTTGATTTCGAACCTTAGGACTCTTATTGCATTCAGAGAAAGATTGGGAATGCTTATGGCAGTGGATAGAAAGTTCTAAGTCTTGGCTGAAACGCGATTTCGACTGGAAGCATTCTTTACGGTTGGAAAAGAGCCTGAGGTCTCTCTGGGATCCCCATTCTCGCTGCCTCTCTTTCTGTGTATCCTTATTTTCAACGTGGTGTTGCGAGTTAGACCTAATCAATCGTGAGGACTTTACGTCAGAAGTTTTACTTTTACTGTTAGGGGGTTTCCCCCTTAAAGACAGTCTATGCCAAAGGTAATGATGATCTTTTCCACGATGGCTCCCAGGAACGTTAGAGCTGTTTACTTGCTCCTCGGTGCTATTACTTCTAAAGAGAAAATACGAAATATTTATGACATTGCATTGAAATTTTCACCCATATTCAAACAAAAGCAAAGATTGAACATTAGTTAAAAGCAAAGACGCATGCACAAACATAAGAAAAGGTGTATTTTATAACATACATATTTTTATGTAAACTATGCAGGCCTCAGGAACAATACCTGTATTTGAAGTTGATCAGGTTTACTAGAGTAAACTCGGGTAACTTCGGGTAAACACTAGGGGTATTAACGGCTTTATCTCTCGTAAAACTTTAACAATTAGAGTGGCCATTTGAGCATACTGTAGTGTTATGGGAGGGGTGCAAGATATGATGGAAATCAGCGAAACGTGAAAATAAACAGTTCACATAACCTTCTATTTTTCACTTTGTTATACTTACCTCAACTTTTCGACTCCAAATCCGGCTACCATATTCATTTTAGAATCTTTATCTTGTTATAGTGAGTCATTATTATGGGCCATAATAACTCAATTTATATATTCGTATCTAAGTAGCATTTAAAAGACATATTATTATCATCGATCATACTGTTTAAACTGTAGTAAACAGAACTTGTTTTCTGCACAGTCAGAACAATATTGCACCTTCATACAGCCCTGATAGCGTTAACAATATTGCACCTTCTTACAGCCCTGATAGCGTTAACAATATTGCACCCTCTTACAGCCCTGATAGCGTTAACAATATTGCACCTTTTTACAGCCCTGATAGCGTTAACAATATTGCACCTTCTTACAGCCCTGATAGTGTTAACAATATTGCACCTTCATACAGCACTGATAGCGTTAACAATATTGCACCTTCTTACAGCCTTGATAGCGTTAACAATATTGCACCTTCTTACAGCCCTGATAGCGTTAACAATATTGCACCCTCTTACAGCCCTGATAGCGTTAACAACATTGCACCTTCTTACAGCCCTGATAGCGTTAACAATATTGCACCTTCTTACAGCCCTGATAGCGTTAACAATATTGCACCTTCTTACAGCCCTGATAGCGTTTAAAGGTTACCACAGGTCGATACATAAATTATTAATTTCCATCTTTCATATTTCTGCGTGCTGTGGAACTTGATATGTAAGAAGGAAAAAAATGTCCTATTTAACGAAGGTTGATCGAAAAATAAAACACGTGACATTACGAGTAAAGAAAAAGATTGAAGCCAAGGATCGGGAGTTAACCATGGCTGACATAAAAATCTATTTGTCAACCGCTAAAGCACGTGGCCATTGCAATGCTGCACAAGGCTGGGCAATATGGCCTTTTCCAGACAACAAGGACGTAACATTTAAAAGTGTTAAGAACGAATCTAATCACGAGTACCAACAACAGCTCCAGGCAACAATGTTCTCTTGAGTAGACACGCCCATCTCGGCGTGTCGATGTGTATCACAAAACAAAGAGTGTGTGTGTGTGTGTTTTTAATGTCCAATTGTTCACTTAAGTGCCCTTAAGCCCTTAATCGTGTTCTGGACATAATTTATGCATGATAAACGGCATAACATGATATTAAAGTAGCTAATTGGAATATTCATTAGACAGTGGCTGTTCAACATGTCTCTGTCATTGGAATATTCATTATACAGTGGCTGTTCAACATGTCTCTATCACTGGAATATTCATTACACAGTGGCTGTTCAACATGTCTCTATCATTGGAATATTCATTACACAGTGGCTGTTCAACATGTCTCTATAACTGGAATATTCATTAGACAGTGGCTGTTCAACACGTCTCTATCACTGGAATATTCATTAGACAGTGGCTGTTCAACGTGTCTCTATCATTGGAATATTCATGAGGCAGTGGCTGTTCAACGTGTCTCTATCACTGGAATATTCATTATACAGTGGCTGTTCAACATGTCTCTATCATTGGAATATTCATTATACAGTGGCTGTTCAATATGTCTCTAACATTGGAATATTCATTAGGCAGTGGCTGTTCAACATGTCTCTAACATTGGAATATTCATTAGACAGTGGCTGTTCATACATTTTCTAAATTAATGATTAAAGTTTAATAAAACACATCTAATACCTAATTAACTTGTACCTCGAAATGGATGTAAACACTGGATACAACAACACAGCTAACAACACCATTGTTATATTCATAATGAACTGACATGATGTATTAACGCACAGTACCATCAAAGGAGGTTTTATTTGACTTGGCTCATTTTATTTTCTAGTTTATTGTTCAAGCAATAAAACTAGGACCCATCAAGAACGAACCCAAATTACCCAACCCAGTTCAGTATACGAAAATGTCACGGCGTTACACTGGCGTAGGTAGGGAATGTGCACCAGAAGGGTGTCGGCAATAAAGTTAGGCTTAAGACGGTCGTGACAAGGCTCTTCTCCCGATGCTCGTGAATATGAAACGTAAAAAGAAATACGTAAAGCAGTAAGAACAGGATACTAAACACATGCAGCTGTTCATGGTCACGAACTAGTGAAAATTGCGTCAACTTCTTTTGCCCCCTAACGTCAAACTTTTCACTCTTCTTTATTAATAAGCACAAGGGGGCAATATTAGCATATTTAGCCGTCTGTCTAGTCATGCGGTAGTCATACAAGCATATCAAATAATCGAGTTTTCGACCAAATAAAAATTACGAAGATTTCCAACTTATATAATTTTCAGATGGGAACAATGTACTTCCTTTGACAGGTTGTTTAGGTAGAGTATTCGTAATGAATCTAAGTTTCAAATGGACAGCAACTGCCAGTTGTAGAAACCTACAAATGTAGAGGACGACGTTTCGAAAGTCTTCCATCTTCAGGGACTTCACAGTTCATGGATAGTGTAGTGTTGTAAGTTTTTTGTTTTGACGTTTGTATTACATTGGTTAAAGATAGTTTTTCCCTGGATAAACTTGTAACACGAAGAAAACAATAGTACACTATCCCCGAATTGTGAAGTCTCTGGACAAACCTGTAACACGAATAAAACAATGGTACACTATCCCTGAACTGTGAAGTCTCTGGACAAACCTATAACACGAAGAAAACAATGGTACACTATCCCTGAACTGTGAAGTCTCTGGACAAACCTATAACACGAAGAAAACAATGGTACACTAAACGTGAACTTCCAATTTTAAAAATAATGTATCTTATCTCCTTATATTTAACACCATTAATATTCTTAAATATAAACATTACAATAATTAATCAAACGTATCAAAGTAGAATCGTTATTTTATTTATCAAAAATGAAAAATCTACTGTTTTTTATTCTTTTAATATTGTACTTGTGGTACGAAGATGGGATGATTTTTAGTCCTTTGTCACCACTTGCAGTCTTTGGGGGGAGATCTTTTCAGTTGGATGGGTGAGGGAAACCATTAATGGTTCCATTCCTGGTAATACTCTGGAAGTGGCCTTGACAGGAGCCTCGGGCTCTTTAGCACGTTGACTTATTTCTGGCGAAGTCTTCTCTGAAGCTAACCATTTATTTGATCGTTCTCCCGCCAACGTAGTTCCAAAGGTAATCACAACGAACAAAAACATTTGGCTTGGATCACCTGTCTTTCTGGATTATATTCTTTTGCACTTTAGATTGAACGTCTTCATTATCTTGTGTCACTAGAAGTGCAACCACTGGTGGTGTCGTTGTAGTGAAATGCCCAACGTCTTCATTATCTTGTGTTCCATCACTGTTGTTTCTGGAAGTGCAACCACTGGTGGTGTCGTTGTAGTGAAATGCCCAACGTCTTCATTATCTTGTGTTCCATCACTGTTGTTTCTGGAAGTGCAACCACTGGTGGTGTCGTTGTAGTGAAATGCCCAACGTCTTCATTATCTTGTGTTCCATCAATGTTGTCACTGGAAGTGCAACCACTGGTGGTGTCGTTGTAGTGAAATGCCCAACTTCTTCATTATCTTGTGTTCCATCACTGTTGTCACTCGAAGTGCAACCACTGGTGGTGTCGTTGTAGTGAATTGTCCAGAGCTCTTCTGATCATAAACTGTGAAACTTTTTGAAGGAAATGATGGTGGCTTCCAACTTTCCTCTAGCTGAAACTTTATGACCACTTGCTAATCGTACTCCATCTTTTTATCTCTGGAAGAATTTTATTACCCATGATTGCCAGATCGGGTCGCTTAATAGCATCTGTAGAATTAGTCTCAATCAGCATACCACAAAGCTTATCATTAGTAAATCCGTTAACTTGTGGACTGGTTTCTTTAAATAATTTACTACTCATCACAAATTGGACAGATGGTGTACTCCGATTCTCAGAATTCCATCGTATTGATGCGTGATTGTTATCCTTTTGGAGCAGTTTCTATTATCTAAAGGTTGCAGTTACAACTGAATCATGTCTTGATCTTGAGGTTTACTTCTTACTTTATGAATAAAACAGTTGATGAATTAAATGATTTTGTTTGCAATCCCTAGCAATACGTTCTTCGAAAGTTGCAACAGAAACACCTGTTCTTCGGTTTACTCCTTCAATTCTGAGTAACCAATCGAGTAATAAATCCTTTGGGTTCTTCTATACTTCCATCAGAGAAAGGTGTTGTTTTCACACTATTTGATCTGACGATCTCATACTTCCTGGATGATAGTTTATCTTCAGTTGATTCAAGTTCTATTACCAACTTATTTTAAAGATATACATCCACCTACTTGGTTTTATAGTAACTTACTTACCTATTAAATTGAACTTTACTGATTCCATATTCACGAAAAAAAAAAAAGACTTAATCTTGTTTGTTTTCCCGATATTTTTGTTGACAGCTAATAAACACTACCATATGTTGGGCTACTTTTGTTGAATAGTGGGATTTGACCGATGCTCTTATACAGAGTGGAACACAATTTGGCTACTTCGGACCGTAGACCATGCTAATCATTAGGTCACGCTTAGCCCATCTGAATTTTGTTACTCCACAAAAGCAGCTATTTATTGGCCATGACCATTTTTTTAAAACTTAAACACTTTTTTCGGTCAAAAATAAACTA